CGGAGGCAAAATGAGCAAAAACGCTCATTTGTACATCATTCTAGACAGAAATAAATGGCCTTTTTAGAAAGTGAACCATGGATGGGGAAATGTTGACAGTTTTCTCAAAAAAGGCTTGAATTCAAGAAGTTTCAGATTTGCGTGTTTTTTTTTTTGAGTTGCAAAATCCACTTGAACATGACGCTGCTTTTTTCAAAGTTTCTCAAGAACCATTGGAGCCACAGAATTCGTTTTGGTATCGTTGGATAGAGAATTGAATGGCGGGGTCATGACTCCCCCCCCTGGATCCGCTCTTGTCCCATGGGGGGCGTAAGTATAAAGGCACCTATTGTCTTAAAATAAGAAGAAATAAGAATTTTTTTCTTGTTTTGTTTTAATGAAGGGAAGGGGAGGAATGGAAAGAGAGAAGTTTATATTTGTTTCAAATTATTGTTGGACATTTTTAATTTTATGTTTTTTTTATGTTAATAAAATTTAACTTTATACTTAATTTTACTCTACCGTTAGGTTTCTTTGTTCTTTTTTATTAATTCATGATTGAATGATTACGTCCCATTGACGACTGACTGTGATTATCTTTACTAGATTTAGAGCTGAAAACTTCTCTCTCTGTTTTCCATTTTACAGCCCTGCGATTACGATTTTTTATTTTTGCAACCATATTTACCGATTATCCCACATACGTAAATAGGCGTAATTTACTGATAAACACTAAAAACACCTTTTATATTATTTCAATGCTATATATGTTTCCTGATTAAATGGAGCAAATACATCTTACAGGTCGTAGAGGATGAGATACAGGGTGTTTTTGCCTGAACTCGTTTACTACGAAAATTTAGTAATAAATTCATATAGTCAAACTTAGAACTACACTCGTATTAGATCTGTATAAACATGTTTTTTTTTAGTTTTTAGCGAAGAGGTTCAAATTGGACACCTTTCTGTCGAAAACATAACACTTTTTTGACCTAGCTAGACCGAACCTAGTTCGACTTGGCGGATTACTGTAACAGCTTGAATTGTAGTTTCCAGTACTTTTTTGTGTGAATGATGTTTATTTAATGATGAGGTTTTTTAATCTGTCCTATGAAAAATCGAGGAAGTCATATCAGATGATCTAAGATGGCAACATCTGGGGCTCTTCGTTCTTCGTACCAATCCAGCTTTGTCCAAACTCTACCAAACGAAATTGTGGGAAGGGCAACCGCAACTTGCTGAGATTAAATACCTATTTACCCCAAAATATTTGTGCAAATATTCCGGACCATATATTGAATCCACACCGGCCCCTAAAATGCAAAATTACGCATCTAGGCTGATATATCGTGACATACAAGACCAATCTTACATTACTGGTTAGTACTTGGCATACACCCAATTGCAAATTTTTGGTCCATCCGTAATATGATTCACGATTCAAGTTTTACTTATTGGTTTTGTTGACTTTCCTATATAGAAACAGCTATCTACGTAATATTAATAACCAAAACGTTTGTTGTCGCAGTATATCTAAAAAATTGTAGTTTATTATTGTTGTAATTTATATTATATCGTTTTTTGTTTCTTAAATATCTCAATTTTTAGAAGAAATTTTGCTTTTTACGGTACTGGTCTCCGGGAATACATCGGGGCAATACCTCTAGCAGAATAACGTAAATTTGGAGCCACCCCGTGGAAAGGGTGATGTCCTTACTCAGCTCTTCGTATGTTTCTGCTATTGTCATTTTAAATTCTGATTTGATTAATTAATTATTAAATTCTGATTATTTGCATCGCTCTATATTGAAAAGTATTTAATGTCTGTATTTTATATTTCAGCTCATATCTGACGCGGGATTTCAAGGAGAAATTACCAGTATATCAACAGCTGCACAACAGTTGGAAGTATTTTCGAGGGTACTGAAAACCTCAATAACTAGTTTTCTCACTAGTCCGGAAGAATGGCAAAGTACAAGTCTTGAATGTGCTGTAAGTAATATTTGAGTGTACTTTTATTAATTATTTTATTCTACGTAGTACTTCAAAGCCGGTATCAAAAATTATCAATTCAACGTCTGTATAAGGGGGGGGGGGTTAATTAATCCTTTAGGGAGTGATTTACGTAGACCGTGCAGTAGAAGTTTTCCAACTTATGAACACAATTTCTAACTTCATAATTTCTAACTTCATAATTTCTAACTTCATAATTTCTAACTTCACAATTTCTTACTTCAAAATTTCTAACTTCACAATTTCTAACTTAACAATTTCACTAGCGCTTCTCCTATCGGTATCCGGACGCAACTCGATTGGAATGTGAGGAATTTGTCCGATATTTGATTCCTAATAAATTCACCAAGTTTTATCAGGCACAAAACTGCAAGTTTGACTTGTGATAACGTAGTAACTTTGTTTATTATTATTATTATTATTATTTCAACAACACATCATACGGACAAGCATCAAACATACAATTATTTTTCCCCTAGTACGGACTGGCAATAAAATTCATTAAATATATCTATTATCAAAAGAACAGAAAGCCCTCGATTTATGATTTGTTCTTGGTGATTTATGGTAATGGCAACAAAACATTTTGCACAATTTCCTTTAATTATACAAACGAAGATTATTTAAACTTATTTATTATTTATGGAAAATCTGATAAAGTTTTGTGATACATTTCCATGTGATGTCTCGTACCAGCTTTTCTGTCCTGATTCGGCCGGCAGATTGGTCTAAATAGCTCACAACGCTTCCTGATTCAATTTTTCGCCCTGATAATGTCTAGGATTCCCTCAGGACGGTTGTCAGGCCGATGCTTGTTCTGGACTTTTTTGGTCCAAGCTGGCTGCTTGCTGTGTCCGTTGTCAATTCATTGTCAGACCTTTTACTGCAAACTCTAGAGATTCGACAGTATCGAGCTGGTTGGGAATACACTCACACCCACACTCAAGATTGCAGGTTTGTGAGTCCCGGGCTGTGCCACGGTGTCACCATGTGATTCCCGACAATGGTAGCAGCTCTGTCGCCATAATGTTACGAGTTGTGTAATTCTAACACCTCGCGAGTTGTAAATATGTTATATGTTTATTTATTCAATTCATTAAAACGATCAAAACAGAAACCTGCGTGTGTCAATACAGAAAAACCAAATAAATTGAGATTGAACGCTCATATGACACCGACGCCACGCCCTCTGAGTTTACTGCATCATGACACAATTGCGCTAATGCGTTTTATTGATGGTACAAGCCGTATGACTATCATTAATGCAACAGAAGACCTGAAAATAAGGCTAGTACTTCATATAAATTTTTCGATCGAGGTTCTTTACCGAATTGTGGACATTGAAAGTGACGTTTACACGGGAAATTTATTTTGTATTGTAATTATTGCACCAGTAATTTGGCATTAATTATTATTATTATGTTGTACATTGTATTGTACAAATGGTATACATTTTTTAACAAACGTTGAAGTTCTCGTTCTTTTGATCTGGAAAATGATCGAAAATCGTTTTGTTGTACATGTACGGTCAAAATTTACAAGTAGCAAATCAAAATAATATCGCCAAATTTGAAAATGTTATTAGGCGGTTAGATAGACCCATTTTTTTATGGAAATACGGCATACTTTTTTATATATTTTTCGAGTTTTGAATGACGCGCTTTGTCTAATGACAAAACTTATAATGTAGTATTTAGCTGATGTTTTTTGATCGAATTCCATTTTGTTTACCGGAAACGAACAAACTGAATTCTATTCAATAATAATAAATAGATATATACTTTTTCTAGATGCGTTTCCATTTTCTCTACCAGAATTCGTTATAGAGTTCCATACACCTGATATCATCCCAAACTTTTTTCTCTTATGATTAGTTTGTCTGTACTGGTTTTGTTGCTTCCTCTGAAAATTGGTAAAAATGGACAAAATATATTCTGTCTCCTTAAATACTAATTGAGGGATGGCACTTTTAGTTTTTGAGGGTAGTATACGCCGCTAAAGCCTCTCATATTAAAATCGGACCAGTCTGTATTCATTACATAAACTATTAACTTGAGAATTCCTTGGTAGATCCTCAATATATATTTTTTTTCTAGAAAATGGTATGCCATGGTCAACACACTTATGTGTACAGTCAGTTAGTGATACACATACTAGCGCGGGAAAATAAAGGCGGTTCCAGCATGAAACGGTTATCGCAAGAAATCACAAAATGTGCTCAAAAGAAGTAAGATACCTACTATAGTTTTAGAATTAGCAGTAGAAATACTTGATTTAATTAAATTTTGAGTTATATAGGGGTCCTATAAAAGTTTTCTTTCTGAACAGTTCATTGCATGTGGCCACTTCTTTGCTTTGCTTTGCTTTGTACAGTTTACAGCACTTTGCGTAAGGTCTTGCATAATTTAATTTAAAATAAGAAAAATGTATACAGCGTTTGATATAGATTTATAATCAGTAAACAAACCATCAGTCATAAATGCGATTAAAAAGGAACAGGTTTTGGCTGTGTCAAAAACACCCTCAGAACCGGTTTCGGGCCTATTAGCCATCATCAGCTGGTTTCAGCTTGTCTGCGACACTTCCATCAAAATTCTACAGTTACATAGGGGTTTTTAAGCAAAGATATTCATTTATTAAAATTGGTTTTTTTGTGCAAAAAATAAAAAAGTGCTATACTTACCTATATTTCCGATCCGATTTCAGTGGGAACGATATCACTCCAATTACAATGGCATTAAACGGAGCGTCTGCATACCCTTTAGGATGTCAAGCGTTAAGCGCTATGCTGTCAAAGAATACTCTAAATCCCGCCGATATAACTGTTTTGTTTAGAACATATAATTCGCCGGATCCGCCTCCCATTGACTTGATTAGGACTCCGCAATTCCTAGGTAAGTAGTAGTATTCCAAATGTAGCAGCATAGATTAGTTTTTCTATTAAACTTGTTTCAGAATTGTTAGTAGATGCACTTTTTAAACCTGGAGTTAAACTAAATCCAGATCACAAGCCAAAATACATACATTTATTAGCTTATGCGGCAAGTGTCAGCGAATCCGGAGCGAAAAAAGGTAACTGGATGTTAAACTACACATATGCATATTCCTTGAGCGTAATTTTATTAACACGTCAATGATGAGTCAGAAATGGGTCAATTCTTTTAAGGAGATACTCGGGATTCATTTGCGCGAGTACGAGAAAAACATTTAAATTATATGATCCAATTTCTGTCTGCCAGATATTAGAAGTTGTAATTTGAACTTTGCTATTAAGGAATATTTTAGTAAGGTGGCTTCATGGCCTTTGAGCTAACTATTAGTTTAAAAATAATCTATAGGAAACATTCGACACTAACGTTTTACCACTTTGTCGAAGCTTGATATTAATACCCGTCGGACGCTTCGGCAGCTATGCCTTCGGAGAAATATTAAAACTGAATTACAGTTTTTTTTTTGTTTGTCCGGCGACTGGAGGATAAAATTCTGCTTGAAGAGACACCCGATCTCCAGTCACACCGGGATCGTGTTGGATTTCTACCGACTTAAAACCTCTAAGTTTTGGCTGCAAGTTTTCGGGAGTTTTCGTGGTCTTCTGTAAGAATGGATCAGCTCCGGCATCCGTATGCTCTCACATCGCATTATTTCCATACTAAGTGCTTGCTTTATGGGCATCTTACTAATTTTACACAAGCACTACTTCCATCGCACTACGTTAGCACTAAGTTTTAACACTTTGCAACTTACTGCTTTACCCTGTTGGGCCATCTGGTGCTTGAGCGGCTTCTTCCTGGGCCCATCATCCGCTGGTATGTAGTCTACGGTTCTGCGTAGTTCGGCAAACGGGCGGTTCTCGACCTTTTCAAAGGCCCAAGCTGGTTTCCGTTCTAGAAAGTCTCTCAGCAGCTCCCACTCCAGGTCCCTGTAGTTGACCGTTACGTACAAACAAGAGCACATCTATGGCCATACAGGTAGGTTTCTGCCCCATACATCCACACCGTGGAAGCACACGTCACTGCCGGCCTGATGATATTATTGATGGGCAGGAGGATTTATTCCTCACACTCATCTGACTTCTTCGGTTCAGAAGTGAGTGCAGCTGGTTGGGTATGGCCTTTTCCTGGTTGATCGCTGTCGCCAAACCAAACCATCTCCAAAGTGGCTGCGGATCTAGAGCAACACCCAAATACCTGGCTTCAATGCCCGATTAAACATCTATCTCCGTCTCCGTCTAGGTTGATGTTTCCATCAACCCTGTCGCGTTCTTTTCAAAAATAATGGCCTGGCTCTTTGTTGCGTTAATAATCACTTTCTATTTGATGAACCACTTTAATACTTCATCGGCGGCAAGCTGTAGGTTGTGACGCAAACGCTCCATTTGTCATGAGGATGACACCTCTATCGTCCGCAAAGAGAGCCAGGGACGTATTGTCGGTTCTTAGGATATCACTGGTGAGTATGTTGTAAAGCACCGGGGAGAGTACTGCACGTTGCGAGCACTCCTGCTTCTGTTCTTCTGCCCTCTGACCTGTGGTTCCCAACTTTAGCGCTGAATGTCCTTCTGCAAATGTAACTGTCGATTAGCTGACACATTTTCTCATCAATATATGCGCTTATCATTTTCTAGACGAGTGTATTGCTCCACACTGTCAAAAGCTCTTTCGCTATCTAGAGCGAGGATGCCAGTTGTTCTGCGCTCTAGAGAATCTCCTTGGCGCATCCTTCCACGATTCTGAGCAGCTGAAGTTGCGTAGAGTTTACCACGGAACCCAAACTGCTCTAGCGGCAGCACGTCAAGCTCTCTCGCTTCACTCGCAAACATCCGTAAGATAATTTGTGACAGCTGCCAGTCCTTTTCTTGGCAGGATCTTCAGGATCTTATTGGTTATTCCATCTCTCCCAGTTTCTTTCCTCCTCTTAGTGTTCCTGATGATGGCTGCCACCTCTCCTGGCGAGATTGGAGGAACATAGCTGTCCAGATGTTTTCTGATGGCAGTCTCATGCTCTTCGTCTTCATCTGGGTGGTTGTTCTCCCTGGCGTCTCTTCCGATCGTATCTACAAAAACTTCAGCTTTATCACCGTTAGAATATACCAGAATTATCAGTTAGTTTTAATAGGTATGGCATGTTATACCATAAAAAAATGCGTTTGCGTTATTAATTTAATGTATTCAACAAATATGAAATTACAAAAAAATTTGTGGGAAATTTAGGGATGTCGGTTTTCACTAACTAATGCTTCAATATTAACTTTCATATTTGTTGTTGATAAGCGAAGCAACTGAGTTAGTCGCTTATGAGAGAGGGAAGATCTATATTTTGATCTATATTTTGAGTTTAAATTTAGTTAGTTTTAGTTAAAAAATTAATTAAAATAGTCAAATTTCATGTGGGAATAGCTACTTTCGCAAAGATGCGTGCTTCCCAGCATTGAGCCCAGTGTAAGCCCTAAGTTTCGCAAGTTGGGGTATCGTTCTTCTGGCAGCAATTGAATTTATGAAATTAGTTGTAGTGATTTTGAAAAGAAAAATGTTGGGCAAAGAAGACGTTCAATTATCACTATATTTAGAGAGCATTTTGCACATATAAAATACGGAAGATTGGAAAAGTGTAGTGTTGCCCAACATTTTCTTGCAAATAATCATTGTTTATCTTTCGATAATCTTAAATTAATAATGAATTTAACAAATAATAGATTGCTAGATTGTTTTGAAAGCATTGAGATGGCGATAGCAATCTATTAAACAAAGAGAGGGGAGCGATTCCTTTCAGACCCTTATATCGCTTGATTGCGTTCGGTCAAGGTGCTGATTAGGTGCGGAGCGCATGACCGATCGCATTCAACGGTCTAGCGTATATAAGTAGTATTATATAGTAAACGCGCGTCAGGTATTAATTTAAAGTTTCGACAAAGTGGCAAAACGTTAGTGATTTATTAGGTTAAATAAAACGCTGCAGAATTAGCTTTAAATTATCAAATGTCCTACGTGGAAAATATTGTTATGAAATTTTATCATGTTGCTTTTAACAATTCTCTCGTATCTATAATTGCTTTTTATGTACATTCTAAGTACCGTCATCCAACATTTCCGGTGAAATGGTGCCATTTTGTAAGTTGTTCCATTTGTTCACCCTGTAAAGATCTTCATAACTTAATCAAACAAACGCTGTTTGCGTGGAAAACGAAGTAAACCGATTTTGTTTTATTAAGTTTCAACCTGATCTTCTTACAGAGTTATTTAGAAAATTTAATTTCAAATCATGGCTTTGCTTCAGTCAGGCAGTTTTATAATAATATATAAATGTATTTTCAAGGACAAAGAAGAATCTGTAACAAAGATGAGCTTCAACCAACAGTGAGGGCTATAGAGACGGTACATAATATATGTAATGGGAACAAAGGAAGCAGCGAGTTAATGGCCGAACTAGCGACAATTTACCATTCACTAAGGTTCGTACATTATTTTAAATTCGTTTATTTCCTCATATCGGTTTTTCCTAATTTATAGAACACAACAGAAACTTAACAAAATACATAATTTTACTTATCAGCTGCGGGTACAGGGTGTTTCCTCATAAGTTGATCCCCAGATCACGGCTGAGCAATATTTTTAGTCAACGGGCCAATTATTTTTTTTTGACGGGTCAGACGTAAAGTAACACTTATTAATAATTTACAAATCTTTATTTATAATAAACATTAGAAAAAAAATAACGGGTTATGCAATTCGAGGTTGGGAAAGTAAAACCTTGCTATTTGATATCCGGACAAAGGTAAACGGCAGGCTAATATTTAACTAGGATTATAGTCATTTAAAAATCTGCCATAAATCAGTGCTTTCACACTGCTCATAGCTGTCAAATTTTAGAAACATAAAATTGGTTCCGAGTAGAGCATTCAAAACTACAATTCTTTGTCCATTTAACCGTCGTTGTATCTGCTGCAGTTTCTAAGATCCCTGTACTAGTCATCCAAAGAAACCTATCCTGCATAATAAATAATTAATAGAGCATCCATATATTTTTAGGTTTCCCGTAGTATCATTGGGTGTGATTCGATGGGTTGAATGTACAGTAACTGAGCCTAGTTACTTCAAATTATCGACTGAACACACGCCCATACATCTGGCTCTTTTGGATGAAGTAGTTACATGCCACACTCTATTGCATGATCAGGTTTTGAAGCTATTGGTTCAGTTATTCGAATCGAAGCAAGACGAGCTGGAGATTCTGGTGCAAGTAAGTGCGATAAGATATTAAATAAATAATATCAACTTGGTGGCCATTTTCTGAATCTTTGTATGGGTAACTTCTACATTTTTAAAGATAGAGAATCCGTTAAATGGGCAAAATTGGGCAGAATTCGATTGCCTATTCATTACCGTTTTCAAAATTTAGGTACCCGACTTGATTCCTAAAATATCCTGAAAAGGCAAGATATCAACACTTTTTTAATTCGAAAACTGCTTAAATTAGAAAAAAAAATCAAAATTGTCTTTGGTAGAGCTTTTTGCGTTGAATTCAATAAATTAGCACTCGTCATAGTCAACTTGATTTACGAGATAAAAAATATACTTATGTTTTTTAAATGGTAATCATAGTTGGCTGTGGGCCTTTTAAAATCCTTATTTTTTTCTGAATTTACGATATGTTTGGATGTTTTTCTCCTTTTGTTGGCGCAAAACTTCAAAAGAAGATCAAAAATGTGTAGTAAACTATGGAAACAAGAACTATATTATCACACACACCACAAAACAAAAATGACATAATTAACAGACACAATAATGTTTACTGGGCTAATGAAAATCATCATCTAATTGAAAAGAGGCGAGATCAGGGTTTTTTTTTGTGAGGTCTAAGTGATAATTCAAAAAATGTTGATTTCTTGTTTTTCAGGATATTTCAGGAACCAAGTCGGGTACCTAAATTTTGAAAACGGTAATGAATAGGCAATCGAATTCTGCCCAATTTTGCCAATTTAACGGATTCTCTATCTTTAAAAATGTATAAGTTACCCATACAAAGATTCAGAAAATGGCCACCCTGTATATAATTATGAAGAGATCATTTGAGATGAAATATCCTCGAAACAGATATTGATTTTTTTGCTTTGGTTAATGACGACGGACTAATTTATATAAAAAAATATAAAAAGGCTCCATCAGCTAAAATATATATTTTGCCAAAACCTGTACTTGGATTCCGTAAAATAAATGGGTGAAATACAAGTACAGGTTTCTTCAGTGTTGTTATCATCAGTCAATCTGATGACAGCTGATAGACTCGAAATAGGCAACCCTGGGGGTGCCTGAGAGTAGCACATTTCGAGATCTGTACCTGCGTACAAACTTATAACTGAAGTGTTTTTGATAGTTATGTTTTTAGATGAAGTTATCACTGTATACCGGGTGTTTTTTAAATTAGTATCCCATATTTCAGAAGGCAAGTCCTCAGGCTTTGCGGACCCATGCCCATATGGACCCTTTAGTCTTGTGAAAATAGGAAATACCTCTTAAAAACACCCGCTCTATACTTCATTCATTTTCTAGGCGATAAACACGCGAAACCCTATTTCATTATTGGGGCTAATGTGTCGTATTAGAGACGGATTGCTCACTTATTACACAGCATAACATTCTAAAATGGTACTTCAGTAGAACACGTGTTTAATTGCGTAAAAAATAAAGCGTTTTCCAATAAAGGGTTTCATTTTTGCTTTTGACCATTTCCTATCATAATTTCTCATAACCACCAGTGCTGAATAACTCTATGGTAAAGAAGAAGGATCATGAGTTTAAAAAAAGTGAACTAGTAACGTGTCATGACAACCAAAACAAAAAAAATGCAAAAAAGTCTTACATGTGTCAAAAAGAAATGTCAAAAAAGATCTTACAAGTTTTTTTTCGTTCAAATTAAATTCACAAAAGGGTATTTGGTAGTTATTATTTCTACCCATCTTACTGAACAGTGTGTTTTTGTGTGTTTAACACCTAGAAATTCTGTTCTGCTTGGAGAAAAAAGAAAAAGAAACAATAGAAAACTTTGATTTTAGCTGGAAATGCGCAAGATGGTTTTGGATCGTATGGTTAATCTTCTTTGTTCCGGCTGTGTGGTACCAGTGGTAAAATATATTAAGCAGTGCTGGCAGCGAGGTGATACAGACATTTCCCTAATTCGTTACTTCGTTACAGAGGTAAGCCTGTTTTAGACTTGTTTCATTGAAGTGTTTTTAAACAAGCACAATTTTATTAGGTCTTAGATACTATTGGACCTCCATACAGCTCCGAATTTGTACATTTGTTCATGCCTATGGTGGAAAATGACGAAATCACTGGTACTATGCGTGGAGATGGCGAAAACGATCCGGTGTCTGAGTTTATAGGTGCGTCAGTCTTCCTCAAGAAATTTTTAAACATTTGCAATTTATATTTTTGTTGTAGTGTACTGTAAAGCTAACTACACGCAGATGGCATAGAACAGATAAATCAGAGAGTTAAAAATATACTTTATTTTATACATGTAAGTATATAAGTGGCAATTATTGGGCTTAAGCAGGTTTAGCAGTTTTGTATCAATATATTATGTGTAATAACTTTGGTACTTTTTCCGTTATTTGCCTCATTGCCCATCTAGAGTCTAATAATCACAAACGCTACTAATAATAAACGTTGAAATATTTCGCAAATTAGTGAAGAAATTTAAAATGTGGAAAATAAGAAGTTCATTTCTGAGAGGGGAAGTTTTTGTGTCAGAAAAAAAAACGCATTCTTCCACCTTATAGGCTTGGAAGGGGCCAACGTGATAATTGCAAATAGTAATCACACCATTTTACTGCATATTCGAGTCAAAAATTGTGAATGTTTTATGTAAAACAATTTCTTTGGCTTTGACAGGTATCGCTGCAATCCATCAATTATAATTTTTTGGGATTCATGAAGTTCGAGAGGTCCAGGAGAATCGCTGGTATGTTAAGGTTTTAAAACTATGGAAACTTGCGCGATTTGGTCGCGAGCTGTGTGGATTTGTGTGGAAAACTCCACTGATTCCAGCAGTTTTGGTGGTTTCCTGGATTTCTTCCTGTGGTAGCCAGGAAAGCGGTAGTTATAAAAATTTTATTTTACTACAAGGTGCGAGATAAAACATATAAATGCCACCCAGGCATTAGAGTTTGCACTGTAATTTGCCTAATTTGTGAAAATGTCTATTGCATAAGTGACTTCAATAAATTAAATGGCATTCTGCTGTATCAAAGTTTAGGGCTTTACGAGTAGATTACGGTCGACATAATCAACCCACAGAGCAAACAATTTCGAACACAGTGGAAAAATTTGAAGAGACTGGATCGGTTTCTGATATTGTAAGGCCTGTGCATCATCGCAACATTCGTTTAGCTGAAAATATCGCTGTGGTTGCTCAAAGTGTGGAAGAAGACTGGAATTCGTCGATTCCCCGACGTGCTCAACATTTGGGCTTGTCTTACGGCTCATTGTGGCGAATTTTGCAATTAGATTCATTCAAGTTCAACTCAAGAACTTAAGCCTCAAGACCATGGACAACGCAGAACATACGCAAATTAGGTGATTGAACAATGTTGACGATGATTTTTCGAACCGAATTTTCTTCAGCGATGAGGCTCATTTTTCGCTCGGTGGTTACATGAATAAGCAGAACAACCGTATTTGGGGCTTTCAAAATCTTCAGGTGACCGCAGAAAAGCTTTTGCATTCTGAAAAAGTGACCGGATGGTGTACATTATGGTCCGGTGGTGTTACTAGCCCGTATTTTTTTGAAAACGATAAAGGAAGAGCCATAACAGTCAATTCTGAGCGCTATGGCCGCATGTTAACCGATTATTTTTGGAGAGAAATTGAAGATTATGATCTGGAAGACATGTTGTTCCAGTAGGATGGGGCAACGAGTCACACAACACTGGCAGTGACAGCCCTATTGGAAGAGAAATTTCCCGGGCGCATAATTTCGAGACTGAGCGATGAAAATTGGCCCGCAAGATCCTGCGACTTAACACCGTTAGATTTCTTTTTGTGGGGCTATGCGAAAGATCGTGTTCACGCCAACAATCCTCAAACTCCTGAGCAACTGAAAGCCATAATCCGTGAAGTTATGACCGATACTTTACCTCAAAAGGATTGAGGCCTATAGGAGGTCCCGTGGAGGACATTTAAATGATATTGTTTTTCACGTATAATGGCAAAGTTTAATCTTTATATTGAATTAAAATTTTCGTCTCCATCTGAATATTTTGTGTTTTTTTCTTTACTTTCCCCTAGCATAAAATGGATAACACTGTATAAAGTATGAAATAAGAAATGAGATATTGATTGATATGGATAACAAAAGTGAATGTGAGAATTATGATAGTGAAGAGGACAGAATTGAAATAAGTAACCTGAGAAAGGAAAATAATCTACTGAAGCAAATAAACGTGGAACTACGCGATAAAAATGTAGTGATGAAGGAACTGATTGCACAGCTACAGAAAAATAATATTAACAGGAAACCATATGCACAAGTACTATCAGAAGAAAAGCCTAAAAGAGAACATGTACCGAACATAATAATAAGGAAGAAAAAACGTTTTGCACTGCTTAAACAAAGAGAGGACAACTCAAACAGAAAGTGTACTGCAAAAACGACACCGAAATAACTATAAGTTGTATGAACTCTAGGAGTGCAGAAGAAACTGTAAATTGCATGAATAAGAAATTGGCGAAGAGAATTGGTAAAAAAAAATTGGCACAATAGAAGTTGTAAATAATCCAAGATTTAAAATAGTGGGAGTCGACAACTGTGAATCAATGGATCTGAAAGAGTTAGCAAATGATATTATAAACACAAGGAACTTCAAAAGTTGCGATACAAAGTGTAAAGTAGTAAATAAATTTCCAAACAAAAAACTGATCTGGAAAGTATAATAGTACAAGTCACCCCAGAATTATACAAAATAATTAAAGCTAACAATGGAATTTTTGTAGAATATCAGAACTGCAAGGTCTCTGACGACCTTAACATACAACCATGTCTGAACTGTGGAAGATTTGGACACAGTACCAAGAAATGCTTTAATGATAAGGCATGCTTAAAGTGTGCAGGAGCCCATAATTCAATAGATTGCACCAGTCTGAATTATGTTGGATTAACTGTTGTTTTAGTAACAACAGATTTAAAACAAACTTTGATGTAAAACGCGTGGCAGAGTAAATCAAGAGACACATTGAAACTACAGATTACCCGATGAACGCGGGTATCCAACGATATATCGGTAAAATTTTGACAAGCTCCAGATTTTTGTTGGGAGACTATAAATAAAACCTTGTATGATAATATGTGTGGAATCCTGGAACTTGGCATTCAAAGACTATTTTATATTAGAAGTAGGATCAACAAATCTGATGGTGTAGTAGTATACATAGAAAACAATATAGTGGAAAATACAGAGACTATTGAAAATATAACACAAACTGATTGACATCACCAACAAATTGCAAATTTAAGTTCTGAAATTTTAATATTCACTAATTATTCATTTTCCCTATTCTGTGTGTGCAGAACATTGATTGATTGATAATCCGACTATAAATTAGACCACGATTAAATAGCAGGTACTAGCAGAGTCGATACAACAACTAATTGGTGGTCTGTTAAGTCAAGGTGCGGCTACAAGTTATAAAAAAATGTAATTCGAAGTAAACATATTTTTCATAAATTTTGCTTAACAAAAGCCAACCGTAAAGAGGCCACTCAAAAGTACTTATCACCGCCTCGTAGACAATGTATTTAGGAACCATACTTTCACCAGTTAGATTTAGAAAAGCGCCCTTGTTTCCCATGGTACCACTGCAAGAAGATATTATTTAATTTTACGTGTTCTCTATCAATTGCAAATTAATTTTAATAGACACAATTCAAAGTTGTAGTTCCCATAGCTTGTCAAGTCAGAGAAACGCAAACTGCTTGAAAAAATTCAAATTGCACAAAAGTAGTGTTGAATTCGCGCATCGAGTATCATGTAGGTGTGTATGTGTCGAAAAGTTAATAATTACCTTTTGGCATAGTGATTTTCATCAGTCCATAAACTTACAAACTTACCAATGGTTTGGAGCCGAAAACACTGTGATGCACCACCCATCATGCGCAACCTCGTACCCCGAGTCCTTCACGTAATGGCTTCGAATAACGTAATCCAGCTTAATTCAGTTTAAGTTGAGTTTGAGGAACGCGTGAGTAACGTCGGGTCCGAACTGGCAGTCTACGCCCCGTTTGCCGGGCGCGCGCCCGTCTTGGGGCTGTGGATCGGACCATAACAATTCACACATCGGGCGGCTGTCGGTTCCTATCGATGGTCCTAATTTCATCTAGTGTAACATTATCGCGGGAAAATAGTCCTCCGTGCATCACCTGGAAAAAAGCATTCCCTTAATCACTGGTTTACATAGAAATTCCGAACTGTCCTTACAAGTACTTGCTTGTTTAAGCAATGAGCTAAAGGCAGCCAGTTTTATACTTCGGTAAACAACTCGGCCATTTGATCATTGTATTTGAACTTCACTTAGGCATCGAAGCCGTACATTTTATTCATCGTGCGCTTTCGTGGTTGGCTGAAACCCATTCAAGATTGAACATTTGTGACTTGCCCTCCACAATTCCTTACCTCTGGACATGTAAAAGTGGCCGTACTGCAATTTGTAGCCAAATAATGTGAAAATACATTCAACGGAAAACGAGCCCCGACCTACAAAGTCTCCATTGAACAAGTCGGGATTGGTCGAAGTTCGAAAATATTCATCAAGTCATAGAATTGACCGTGTATATCGCTGCATACAGTAAACTTTTCTTTATCGGGTATTGCCACGTCCACCACGGACGGCAGAACCATGAAATACTTTTTGATGTCTAACAGAATCTGGAAAACAGCCCATGCTATTAACGGGGCTCTTGGAGGGATACATTTGTATACTTCGTACCTTAAACGCAAATTTCCTATGCAACGTTCCTTCATCTTTGTACACCTACATCAATTCCTTCATGAATTGTTCGATAACTTTGCCATCTTCTAGCTGGGGGCCCGAATACTTATCCTGAATTGCTATTAAAAAAAATATGATCAGTTACTTATCACTGCTCTAATAGATTAGGAACTTACTCATAGCATCTAAATTTATGGTGTCAGCCATAAATTTATGTTTATCTTCTACTGAGATGGCTTTTTCGAAGGCCAGCTTCTTCAACACCTTGTGCATTCATTTAACTTAAGTTTGGCGTCTTTATCGATTGGTCTCACTTTGGTTACCTGCCAAACAGCACCAACATTTATAAATTTAGGGCTTCAAAAGCGGGACACTTATATTCATAGTGCTTTTGAACCAACTTCCACTTGCCCATAGATGGGCGTCAGCTCTTCTATAGAATCCCTTCACGTACGTCGGATCCAGTTCCATCGACTTAGTGGCATCATTGAGCGCGTACCCGAAACATTAATTCTTCAACAGTTAATAAGCGAAACTTCGATTCGAATAATAAACGTGCACATTTGAATTCGACGCGATTATAACTCGATAAAATAGTAAAATCCGGAAAACTTACTTTTGAAATACTCGTTTGTCTCGGCTTTGAATGTTTCGGCCAATTCTACGTCTTCAGGTGATACCCATGGTGTATCCTTTGTATCGGTACTCATGGTAAAAAAATGTCTATTTTCTGCTTTACAAAATAAAAATAGGTATTTTAAATGCTCTACGAGCTAAAAAATGAAAATTCACGCGCGATGCATGATTTTGACCCTTGGAAATTTGACGTTTCGCTAAACTTTTGGGAATTTTTTGTGCTACCACTCATGATACAATGAATACTAATGAAATACCATGAATAATATAATATGTGTTCATTGTATCATGGTTGCAAAGTACTCGAACCAGTGCAAGCGTGGTACATCTTAGACAAGGCGGACCAGGTAGGGTCGTTGTTTGCTTGACTGGAGGGCGTTTTAGCTTCGCGAGCAATTAGCGCCCCATACACGGGCAGATTATCCGTACAGTTCAGATACGTAGAGATTTGATTCGACATATCCAGATCGGACGAATTTAATCTTTTCCTGTCCACTAATTAACATACCAAGCACGAGTGCCGATTCTTCCAGTGGGATTGGAGGTATCAGATCCGTCCGTTAGTGGAGTGAAATCTTACGTTTCAGACAGACTTGGTCTGGCGCGTGGTATTTCAAGTGAACTGAAAGATCTGGTCGTGGCAGAGGCAGATTAGTTAAACTAAAATGCGAAGCAAGAAACGGATAGCTATTGCTTATCCTGGCATCATAGTGATTTCAGAAAATCTACTCAAAAAAAGAGAGAAGAAAGTGGGTAGACTAGAGACTATATACTGGAAGGGCGTCGGCAGCCATAGGGAAAAATGCGGCAAAAAAAATTAGAAATCGAATGCACGCTGGGATTTTTTTATAAACCCGTTGTTATTAAAACAATTAAATACATAATTATAGAAAAACAAACAAACGATACAAACCGAACGAATTAAAACCAAGGTTAAAAAGGCAAATTGATCTACCTTATTGATTCTTAGTGAAATACTGCAAATTCTGAGAAACATACATATGTGTTCTGTGCACACTAATCATTAGGTACCCTTTAGTTAAACCCCGGCTGTTCTGGACCACCTATTTTGTTCGCTCATACAGTTGTTCGTAAAACCTATATTTTTAAATTTGAACTTATATTATTAATGACTACATCTGATTTACTTTTGCAACTTCATATCTGAAATATATCATATTTAGCGTCGCCTTTAACAAAGAACAAACAATTTTTATCACAATTTTTGCAGTTAACAAGTGAAAATGTAAACATCACATAAAACATCATTGCGCTTGAACATATGGCCTAGTCTGTATATATACGATCTGATTCTATATACCGTCTGTAACATATCTATAATTCAAATACGAAGAATCACTTCATACAGTGGCCATTCATTTTCTTCGGCCCAACGTAGACACAAATTAAATTAATTGACCGCCTATTTACTGGGTATTTTCTGAATAGCTTTGTCTTCGTAATCGAATCAGTGATTTTCTCCTGTGACATTAGCTACTATCTCATCATCTTCCAAGATTTCTATAGCCAAATTTTTCATCATCACCTCTTGCCCATTGTTTGAATTATAACATTATACACTATATCTCAAATCTGTACCAATGTCAACCGTTAAATTTTATCTGAATATGTATTTTCTTTAAGCCGCGAAAGTATGGCAATAGCATGACTGCTTAGGCGGCAATATCCGATACTAGTATTCGCCCGTACCCACTAACGGCGAAATTTGGTCCGCAAGTCCAGATCTGCAGATTTATTTTGTACGAAATTCGCATCGAGTCGTATCTGGCTCGTGGTTACCATTAACGCACCGATATTTCTTCGAATTTGGCTCGCCACGTATCAGATATGACAGATATTTCGCTCGTGTATGGGGCGCTATTGTTCGGCTCGGCCAAAGATCCGCTGACGTTGTGCGGCACCAACTTGGAGAAGCTGGCGCACAACAAGAACGTCCTTTTCGCCTATTGAGTAGTTGTCGGAATAAATTATTGGTTTCTTTTCGAAATGGCGTTTGTACGAACCCAATCTTTAACCAAATCCAACTCCAGGTCATTTTACACAGTTAAAATATGCGTGCTTACCTTTATTGGGCATTTCCTTTACAAGCTCGCCAAGTGAATAATGAGTGGGTCATTTGACAATGACCCTCCTTATCAATACATTTGCCCGCTTCGGAATATTATTTGGCTGTCGGTACTTCGCACGACGCCCTGGTAGTACGTACCACGCATAACAACAATTAACACAATCGCTTTTGATTCATTTAGTGAAGCAGTGGAAGTCTGCGGGAAAGTAATGTCGTGGCCGAGGAAGCACAATGTCCAATGCTTACAACTTCGCTAAGTGGCCGCTGGTGCTTTTCGGTGCCCTTGTTTCAGTGAGAGCTACAGTACCTGAAGGTAATCAATGACTCATTTACACGGTAAACAATTGTGGTAGTTTAGTTTTAGAGGCTGCGCTTGGATCCTGCGGCAAAGTGCATCTAACCGTGTCGCCGCTGCAAGACAACTATCTGGAGCTCAACTGGATTAACTGGAACTGCACCAGTTTCGCTCCCGATTACATAGTGCTTTCCACCAAAAACCTACGGGAAGAAGATGTAAGTTGGGACCGACAGCGCCAGGTTTTCTACTAAGTCGGGCTTGTCGGTAGGAGGACACTTTGTCCTCAACGCTGACACATATCCGTACTGGCGATCATCCGAGCGGCTACTACAAGACCCAGGTGAAGTTCAGGGAACCGTGGCTGCCCGGCAACTGGGAGTTCGATCAAGAGCGGCTGCGAGCGGACGAAGGCGAGCACTGTTTGCCCTTCTGGATCGCGTCCATCAAGCAAGACGTGATTCTGGACTCGCGCTGTTTAGCTATCCAGCCCACCTGGATGTATGATAACAGGTGGATTAAGTGAAAACTGAGGGGTCTTGCCAATGAAAGTTTTGCGTAATTGCAGGCAGCACTTGGGCAGGAAGAAAATCGGCAACTTGTTGATACCGGGCACGCACAATTCTGGCTCTTTTACAGGGATTATCTCCTACTTTGAGGGTTACGTATTGAATCAGGACAGGAGCGTGTGGACCCAGCTGGTCTTTGGCATCCGCTACCTGGACTTCCGGGTGGGATTCGTCCCAGGTACAGGGTAAGCATCCTCCATCCATGGCATAGTACGAGCTTTAATAGATTTCCGCCCGGGTGCCTTCGCCAATTGTCGAGAATATATCGTATGCCCGATATGCTAATAATTCTGCAAAGTTTCCAGGTTCTACATCTACCATGACCAAGTTCGAGTAACGCGCATAGAGCCAATCCTGCGAGAAATCCGCAAATTTGTGCAGCTGGCTCCCCAAGAGGTGCTCTTTGTGGACTTCCACCGGTTCCCGTTTCCGCGCAACTTTTCGCAGGATTTGCACCGCCAGTTCACCGAGCTGGTGTATCAGCACCTGGGCGAGCATGTGGTAAACCCAGCAGGCCTGCAGGCCGGCAGTGGGCCCACTTTGAACGAGATTTGGTCGCAGAACAGAAGCGTCGTCGTGTCTTACGCGGACAGAGCTACTGTCAACCGTAAGTCTTCGAGGCTTGTTTTTCTAAATGGCTTAGTGAAATGTTTCAGAAACCCCCTGGCTCTGGCACCCGATCAAGCAGTTTTGGGGCGACACCAACAAACTAGGCACGCTGAAACAGTATCTGTATGGTGCGATTTATCAGCACAAGAGCAGCACGAACCCCATGTGGGCTCTGATGATGGAGCTCACCCCGCAGCCCTGGGACGTGGTGCTGCGCAAAAACAGTCTGCGGAATCTGGCGCAGGGCGTTAACCGCCAGGTAACCCGCTGGGTTCGGGATGAGTGGTTCAGCGACGTCAATATAGTAGCCACTGACTACTTTTTGGGCAACGACCTGGTGCGCGTGGCTATTGAAGGCAACAAAGCCAACCCCAATTGACCCGGAGTTTGTCGATTATTAGATAGATTACCTCTGTATTGTATGTAAATCATCCAGATCAGATCACATGTCCCTGGTGAATCCGCTCGCTCCTCACTATCCACTACCCAACTAGGTCTAGAACTCATAAGCAGGAGAACGGAAAATTATTTATTAATGCTCTGATAATATTCTTCTTCTAAGTCGTATAAATCGGCCGCCATGTCGTCCCGCAGGGACATGAGTTTCTGGTCGCACTCCGCTTGCTTGGTCCTACAATTGAATGATTGTATAATTTTGGGGCTCAGCAAGTCCGAAGATTTACTACCTGAACAGCTTGGAGTTCTGAGTGATAGCCTCGTTGACTGACGGGAAATCGTTTAGAATCAGATACTGCTTAATATCGGAAACCAGCTTCATCAGAGATTCGCCTGCTCGGACTATATTCGCCGATCTCACGTGCATCTCGTAGGTGTCCTGCTCGCATTGAGTGAGCCTGGACAGTTGGGTGTCGTGCTCCCCTTTGGCCACCTTGATGATCTCTGCAAGCAAAATGTCAGACCGGAGAGCGACTGAAAAGCCTCGGTTTGCTACCTTCAAAGTTCTCCAACATGCTTTTTACGTCGTCCTTTAGTCGCGTGCGATAAGACTTCAGTAGGGCTTCTTTGCTCTGAGGCAATGCGCGACTGGTCATCTTTGAGGCTTAGCAAAACGTAGCGGAATACTGAATTGTATCTGCCCTAAATCCTTGACAGTGAAACGGATTTATGATTATTTAGTAAACATAAAAAAGTTAGGTTGGGTGGGCAGTCGAGTCTAGCGCCACAGATTATCAAACTATAGTCTAGCGGTAACCAAGATATATTTATTTCACTGAACTGTATACAAGTACCTGTAACGGATACTATGCAACATAAAAGTGAGGCCAAATCAAAATGTAGGCAACCCTCTGTCCTGACGGGTTTGTATCTTTTTCTATCTCATTGACTCATACGGAGATATGCATTTTTGTTTTTTTTAAGCAATTACAGTGTGATAGTTAAATTATCGCGGAAAATATAACAAAATTGAACTCTCTGAAAGATTTCAGGTATGAAAAATCATAATTACAATTCTGAAGTGGAATACTGTAGGAGCAAAAAAGTAAAACAAAAATTAATACACGTAAAATAGGTACAAAATTCTTTATTTATATAGCAAAAAAAATATACAGTTTAACAAAAAACTTCTAAACTTACACTTTTTCGTTTAGGTTTTAACAATTGTTAAATAGTACAGGGGTTTTTTTTTTCTTTTTTCGGTGAGGTTTGGGAAATGCTCTTTTATGCACTCCTAGAGCTGGTGGTCTGTCGCTCTGGTGTGTGTGGGACTCCAGCTAAGCTGTTTACCCACTAAAACCCTTTCCTCACCGCCGAGGTGGTGCTTGGCCTCGCACCGCGGTCATTTATGTCCTATTGTGCCCTCGTACTTTTACTCCCTCATTATCCCTGTATATTCAATGAATTCCAGAAGAGTCTTGAGGGGAGTTCGCATGATCT